AATTCAAAATTTGGCATCTATAAATCTTTGTACTGTTATGAGCTAAGTTCTAGCAAAAAAAAAAACTAAGCAGTTTTTTTATGACTTTTAATCTCACATTTGTTAAGCCCAGCTGTTTGATATTGCGGTTTTTTTTTCTTTTGTTGAACTTTTGTTTCTGTTATTGTTTTTTTTTTGTTTTTGCTTAGGAAACAGACAAGGATAGTGTTGAAAGTGTAGTAGGATTTGGTTTTCTACTAGAATCCATTTTTGAGCCTATTTATCGTGCCCGGAAATCCAAGCTAGAAACTGGTATACAGTCGAGCTGTTTAACTAAACGAAGGAAGGAAATATAAATGGTTGTGCAGTGGGAAAACAATGTCAGAAAAATAACAGTGAAATAAGCAGTGTAAGACCGACATTTGTTAAATAAAGTATAGTAAGTTCAGGGTTTTGAGACACAAGCCAAAAAAAAAGTGCGGAAGTAATTATTGCTCGAATACTTTACATTATCATTGATTTTCGTCTGTTCGCCTTCATTATTATCTTTGTTTCTCCTATTGTCGTCATTACTGCTATACTACTTATTCCAGACATTATTAGCTCTTTCACTGTTATTCTGCTGTTTAGGCTCATAGTTTTTTCTTTGTTCTGCCCAGTTTAATTCATTCTGGCAATTTTTTTTGTTCTTTATATACTTTTATGCTCTATAATTTTACACTTTATATACACTCTTTTTATATACTTTATATATTTATACTCTATTTATATACTCTATATATTTATAAATTGTGTTTTTCTGCTATACAGACTGACTAGTAAATTGTTAACCGGTATGGTATAGTAATTTCTGTTCTGTGGTGATAACAATTACAAAAAAGTGTCAAAAGGTCCTTTTCAACTAAAAACTGGTCGCAGAACAAACATCTGAAACCTGAAGAAAGAAAACAACTTACGATGATTTCTTTGAAAATTACTCCAGTTTATGCTATCACCGTTTAAACTTACAAGGATAAGCATAAAGAAAAGCTCGTTTGCATACATCCAGGAGAGTAATTTGAAAAGGGTTTGTTGTAACATCGTACACGTTAGCAAATACAAGGTTTTCATGCGGAATCTGACTTTTATAAAGATGTAGTTTTAACGCTTTCAATTCTTTTGCGTAATTGAATTTTTCAAAGACTAATAGACATTTTCGAAGTAATGGAAATGTTAGTCTACCTCTTAAATTGTTGTGCTTTTTCAGAAGCTATTATCTAATTTATAATCCAGCGTTACAGAATTGAACAAGTCCTTGCACAATTTGTGTATCTGATTTTTCAACTATTGTTTTTTTTGTAGTCTTTTTGCCAAATTCTACGGTGCTCTGC